CATCGTCCACAAGATGGGGGTTTGTTTTTCCTTATATCAATATTTGATATTCTGTTTATAATATATGCAATGGTTGGTTAATGCGGATGGTTAAATTATCGTACAGAAAAGTAGAGAGCATATTTGAACACGATGAACGCTTCAGAGCTGTTGAACGAGATAGAGATCGCAGGGATATGTTTGAAAACTATGTAGAGGAACTCCAAAAGAAAGTAAATTTCTGATATCTTGACATTCTTCTCCGTTTGTAACATTTCCGTGCATGTTGCAGATTTTAACACCCCTTAGTTACAAAAATGTACATTGATTTGAGCAACTTTAAGCTGGGATTTTACTGAGGAATCCTTTCCTGATCTAACTATTGAACCTGAGTTGACCTCCATAACCTTATATTTGAGTCGACCCACATGACTTTCTGTCCATTTGTGGGTGTTCTCCAGTGTGCATATGAAGTCGGATCTATTGAGTTTTGCTCATTTTAAAGCTTGATTTTTAATGACTATTCTTAGCTGACAATAAGAGCTTTACATAGACTGACCTCATAAATTAGGTGTTCCAATCTTAACCTTACCGTTTTTCTCTTTCATCCAAACTTCTTGACTATAACATCCTCATAGTGAAGGTAACAAATAACTTAGTGCAGATGTAGTTTAGATTAGCATTTGATGCCCATTATTATTTGGTACTTTGAAGATCATGGATTTTAAGTATATATGTTCTTACTGCTGTTAAACTGGATTTTGGTCAGGAACGAGCAAAGGCAATGGAGGAACGTAAGCACAATATAATGGAATACAGGCAATTCTTGGAATCTTGTGACTTCATCAAGGTTCTCTTTTAGCATGTTTCTTTTGTATTCATGGGTTTCTTTTGCCATCAAAACTTATACATCTTGGAATCACCTTCTCACTTAGGCAAGCAGCCAGTGGCGAAAAGTTCAAGATCGTTTAGAGGCTGATGAGAGATGTTCACGTCTTGAAAAAATTGATCGTTTGGAAATTTTCCAGGTAATTTCCTCATTTAGCTAGTGATACTTCAAACTGGACTTTGAAGCTTATTTTAAAATGTTGTCGCAGGAATATCTGCGGGATCTAGAGAAGGAAGAGGAGGAGCAGAGGAGGATACAGAAGGTTCTTTATTGTTCGACTCTGTTGATATAGATCTTTGTGTTTATTTTTAAACGGACATTTATTTTATCTGGGGCTTTCTTGGGGCACAGGAAGAATTGAGAAAGACAGAACGTAAAAACCGTGATGACTTCCGCAAATTGATGGAAGAGCATCTCGCTGCAGGCACTCTTACGGCTAAATCTCACTGGCGTGATTATTGCATGAAGGTTAAGAAAACTTTTTCATTTTTACTTTTAAATATTAATTTAGCTGATTCATGTTGTTCTCTAATGTAATTAACTCCCTGTTTTTCTTATTTTCTTCTGTTTTTGTGCTTTTGTCCTTTTAGGTTAAAGACCTACCTACATATCTTGCAGTTGCATCAAACACCTCTGGTTCAACTCCGAAAGATTTGTTTGAAGATGTTGTTGAGGAACTACAGAAACAAGTACTTGAACTGTACCTTGCCATTTTGTGCTTCTGATTTATATTAAATAGGTCTATAACTCTATCTTTGCAGTCCAACCAAAGACCAACAATCTGTTGTCCCTTCCATATAAATTTACTGTGTTCAGGTTTCCATGTTTTGGGTCCCTATGTAAAATTTGATTCTGTAATTACATTGCAATAGAATTTCCTTCTTTCTTTTCCTGTAACAATATTTTATTTAATTTATTTAATTTTTAACATAAATTTTATACATTTTATGAACGATAAATCTGCCTGTTTTCTACAGTATCATGAGGATAAAACTCGAATCAAGGATGCCGTGAAGTTGGGAAAGGTTTGATTTGTCAGACTTTTCTTGTTTCCATTTTATACTATTGTTAGATATCTAATGTGAGATTGTGTTTAGGTCATGCTTACATCAACCTGGAAGCTTGAAGACTTCAAAACTGTTATATCAAATGATATTGGCTCTCCACCCATATCAGATGCCAACTTAAAGGTACATATAGACTTCACACAAAGATGATGACATTTGCATTTCTAGAAGTCTTTAATGGACATCAGCTTTGATCTTGTGGTCATTGCTCTTAAGAATCATTTAAGTAAGCTTGATGAATTTCCTACAAATTATCTTGTGGTCCAATGATTTTGAATTTTTTTGGCATGAAAACTATGGAAACTTCCTTGGACCTGTTGCCACAATATGATTTTTAGGTAACAAGTATTTCTTTGGCAAAATTTCTAAATGGTTGCTCTTGGAAAAGCCTACACTTCAGACAATGCGCTATTTTTTCAGAAAATCCAAAGAAAGTATTGCAGAGAAGCTAGAACAAGGCTGCTAATTAACTCCATTTCCAACCTCAGATATAATTCCTTAGTCATGACTCATGATGAAGCTACTATGTGCATTCTTAGTCTAAATTGATGCCATTGTTCCAAAGTTCCAGTCTTTGCCAGTCAAGTCGCCCGGATATATGTTAGATGATGAACTGTGCAGTACTCTCTGGGATGAGGTAGTTATAACTTATAAGCATTCAAGAAGTTGCAATGAATAGGACACTAGGAAGGAAAACATCCCTTGTGCAACCATATATATATTTTTTTATATGTGATGTTTAAAGTGTTAATGAATGTAAGTGGCTTCACGAGGGAAGTTTCCACATGGCAAGGAAAAAGGGCTGATCTGTTGATAAAATTCATTTATGGATTGGTTATTTTTATGTTTGGTTTCATCCTACACTGTAGCTTCTACAGTAAGTTCTTTGTCATTGTACTATGTGTGTGATTTTCAACTGCCTTGCAGCTAGTTTTTGATGAGTTATTGGAACGAGTGAAGGAGAAGGAGGAGAAAGAAGCTAAAAAACGTAAACGTCTTGCAGATGACTTCTCTCATCTCTTATCTTCTATCAAGGTGTAGCACACTGTGTGCCAACTTATGATATTATGATGTTCTCAGTTTCCTAATGGTTTAGCAGTAACATAATTTTTCTCTATTTTGCTTAAATTTTTGTCATCTCTCTGATTCATTATTTGTTGCAGGAGATGACTCCATCTTCTAAGTGGGAGGACTACAAATCACTTCTTGAAGGTAGTCAAGAGTGCAGGTATATTTTATTAATAACTTAAATCACCTTCGAATTATCTTTTATGTTCATAATAGTGTTATTTGTTGTTTTTCTTTTAATTTTATATAGTGACTTCTGTTCCATAGAAGCATGATTTTATGACTCCTAAAGTATCTCTGACATTCACTTTTTGTGCCTGGAGTTTAATATCTGAGAGATCTCTACTGTCTGGCTGATGTTTAGGGCAATAGTGGAGACACGTAGGCTCTTGACAAGTTGACATTATTTCTTACATTTTGGTATAAAAGAAAATTGTGGAAAATGAAGAAAACTTTAAAGGAACATAGAATTGAAATTTGAAAGTCAAGCTTAGAATAATTTATATTGTGCCGGACAAGTTTGTTTTAGGTTTCTTAGACTTTAACAAATAACATTTTTCTCTAACTGACTATTGCTTGATTATTTTGGATGCTTGTGTAGTGCTATTGGTGAAGAGAGCTTCTGCAAGGAGATATTTGATAAGCATGTAATGCAACTGAAAGAACAAGCAAAAGAGAAAGAGAGAAAACGAAAAGAGGAAAAGGTACTAATTAGTTGGATCACAATTTTGTAAATCAGTTCCTATCTCTGATATATGAGCTATTATTCTCTTTTGAATGTGGAATATAACTCCTGCAGGGTTTACATCTGGTATGCAGAGTACTTGTATGTTTCATGTTTGAATCGTTGTTAAGCTTGCATTTGGTGTTGTTTTGAGTGATTATAGTTGTACTGAATAATGAATACATATATGATTTTTACTTTTTAGGTTTTATTTTTATTTTTATATGCAAATGAACTATTTCTTGGCAACTTGGACAACTTATAACGATGTTTGTCCCGCATATCACTAGGAATTCGGAAGTATGATTATTTGCATGACTAGACACACTTTTGTTGTCTAAACCATTTTTTAGATAACTTTATGACGAGTGTTTTTATTTCTAGAAGGGTGTTCACAAGGAATCCCAAAATTGTAAATGGAGGTTGTGATTACATGATATAATAATATATGGCAAGATGCAATGTAATGATATGAGAGGATTATGTTCTCATTAATAGAACCTTTAGAGTTTAAATATGGGTTTGCTGAGTTGATTAATATTTATTAGCTTAAATAAGGAGTTTATATAATAGCACAGGCTACTAATGAAGGAAAGTAAATAAAGTTAAAATAAAAGAGTAATAACTTAATGCTGTATCCCATTGTATTGTTGGTTACGTATGATTATTTTGAACTTAAAGAATGATACTTGCAAACTTCAGTCACTTCTCATGTATTACTTGTCCATTAATATGAGACCTTGAATTTAACGCAATGAATTCCTATAATTTTCTACACCCTCTAGGAAAAGAAGGAAAAGGAGAGAGATGATAGAGAAAGGAGAAGGACGAAGCAGAGAAGAGAAAAGGAGGTAGAATATGAAAGAGAAAGAGAGGAACGCCTTAAGAAAGATGGTTTAGACAGTGAGACTGCTGATGTAATGGACATTCATGATTCCAAAGAGAAAAAGAGGTCTGGGAAAGACGATAATAAGAAACATAGGAAGCGCCACCATAGTGATGAAGATCATGCCAATGGAAATGAGAATGATCGGTCGAAAAGATCTCATGGATCTAGCAGTGACCACAAGAAATCAAGACGGGTATGTTGAGAATAATCGTGACCTTTCATTTGATTTATTATTTAAACACTGATATAAATTTTACCTCATTTCCTATTGTTATTGCGTAGCAGGCACCTGGTCATGAATCAGATACCGAAAGCAGACATAGAAGACATAAAAGAGATCATCGGAATGGTTCTCGTAGAAGTGGTGATCACGATGAGCTAGAAGATGGGGAATTTGGCGATGTTGGGGAAAGTCGGTAGTTGTTTCATCCTACAAATTGCTTATGCCTGTGTTTAAACTTTTTTTAATGTTGCCAAAATATATGTTTTTCATATTACAATCTTTGAACTTCTAGTGCTATAATATATATTCAAATATATATTTTCCTTTTTGTTTACTAAGAATTAGCTGTATTATGCTGTACTGTTTCCACCTAGTTTTCCCCACTAACAGGCTTGCTTGTAGACTACTTTTCCAACCTCTCCCTAGCCTGAATGTTCTTGAGCATTTTTGTTTCTTTTGCCTGCCCTTCCATTGTTGACACTATCATGCAGACGTTGCATCTTTTTCTGCTAGAGCCTTTTGTTTCTCAGGGGGCTGAAAAGAATCACTTCCATTCTGTGGTTTTGCTCACAAATGGGAAGCTGAAGTTGGTTTGGGGGCTTCTCTTCGGCTTTCGAAGCGACGTGCTTCAGGGTAAAAAAATGTTTCAAGTGACTGATAAACATACGACGGATATTCGTATGTTTTGTAACTCATCCATTGGACTGGGGAAAAAGCTAGGAGACAAAAGAAAACTTATTAATATTAGCTTTACTCACAAAGATGCAGCAAGCATGATTTCAAAGAATACAAATTGGGAAAATGATAGCTGCAACATGTTCCATGCAATTATGCTATGCATTGCATGATAGTTTTGCTACTTATTTCAACAATGTACTAGAAGCGAGTTCTTCATACAATGGATCAGAAATTAGTCTAGTCAATGTTAATTCATTGTTTTTGACTTTTTTTGGAAGATTTTAGTAAAACCCATTACTTATGTAGCCCTCATGCTTATGGTTTCCGCACTACTTTACTAGGACGGTTCATAATTCACTCCCATATTGGTGAGCTTTTGTAAGCCAGCAAAATTCAAAGTGATTTCCACCAAGCTCAGAATTAAATTATAATTTTCGCATGGGTCTTGTAGCTCAAGCGGTTAAAAACAATTACTCATGCAAATGAGGTCTTAAGTTCGATTCTCCCCTCCCCTAATATCGATTGTATTAAAAAAAAAAACAAAAAAAAAATTATAATTTTCACCTCCATGCTTCTGAAAGAATAAAAAGGCCATGAAGATGTTGAGGTCTGGATAGTGATCTAACAGCTTAGATTCGCCTAAAGCTAAAAGGCTGCTGCAAGCTTGAAAAGATGACAAAAAGAAGCTTCTTTCATTACCACCAATTGTCATGCCTATTAGACTCTTTACTTTTCTCTTTATATTTTCAAGCCACCCAATCCCCACCAGCAGCCAACAACTAAAAGTTAATGCCAAAAGAATGGTCTACATTTTTATTTGACAAAAATTGCCTACACTTTATAAGGAGACAATTTTTATTTGACTAAACACCCCCACCCCGCGGCCCCCGCATAATTTCTCATGGGTTCTATTCCATAAGCAAATGAGCATGCTGAGAGTTATCATAATAGTGCACATACATTTTGACTTGCACTTTTTAAGACAATCAATCAATACGTGTCAAATTATGATTTGTTGATGTCGACTTTTAAAAACCGAACATTGGGGGTGTATTTTTAAACACTCCTGCACGTGTGGCGAATTTTTAAGCTTAAAACGTGGACAACACATATTAGATGACGTGTAGCCGTTAACCCCAACACGTGGAGCCTTACTTTGATACTATGAAGGAAGTTGAGGTTTCACTCCAAAACTAATTGACAATGATAGGAGTAGCATAACTTCTTATAAACTCAGGCTAAGTCTCTTAATTTTTCAACGTGGGATAAATACTCTCAATACTTTTGAATCATTTAATTAAACATTCAGGAGGTGACAAAACAATGTCAGCTGGGAAGTTTCCTCCAGAATCCAGGTGACATTGGAGGGACAGGTACGCTAATTTTGGACTAATCCAATTATGGCATAATTTCTTAATTAGTTTAAATCAAGACGAGATCCAAATTCTAGAGGCATTGTTGCGTGTTTTTAGCTTTTGTCAACGCGTGAATGTTAAACCGTGACACCCCGCGGAGAATATTTGTATGTTCACATGCAGGGTGCTACGCCAACACGGCATCACTTAGCTAAGCTTAGCTGACCGCACCGTACTAGGTATATTTGCACTAAACCTGGCCATGCCTATTACGAACATGGGGATTTAATAAATTTAACAATATTAATTACTTCTTTTGTTAGCCATGCGTAAATTACTGAAGAAATCAAAAGAATTTGAAAAAACAATTAGCTATTAGTCTACTCAATATAATTTTTTATTTTTTATTTTTAAAAAAATAGCTATTGGGTTAGTATGGGGACAAAAAATAAAGTTTTTAGATAATGAATTAGGGATGATAACGACGCGAATTGGGTCTGAATTTGCAATTACTATTCCCATCCCTATGGAACAGGGACCAAATCGGGCCCATGATAACTATTTTATTTTCCTTAATAAAATAAATTATAATTATAATTATAATTTAGTATATGTAACGCACAATCACATAAAACGCACCATATAATCATACAAAGCTTAAATGGGGAATAAAGTTGGGGAGTGCTATCTTCATCCCTGCCTATTAAGCGAAGCAAAGCAAGGTTAACGAGATCGGGAAAAAAAATTGCTATACAAAATTGTGTATACTATAAATCATTTCAATTTGTTAGAAGAAGAAGTCTAAAATTCGAATGTCCTGTTATCACGAAAGAAAGAATAAAAATTTAATTGAGACGACATAAAATCCACTTACTTAAATACAATTCCACATTTGATCCACTTAAATCAATTGCGGCTAATAATCTTCTAGATATCAAAGTGGTCAACGACTAGTGGGCTGTAGCGATCATCCAATTCATTTTAAAATTCTACATTTGCCCTTGTGATGACCAGCAGCTTCCTATATATGTATAGTTTTCCACAGCGTCCCATCCTCACAAACTACAAAAGCTCATCGTCTTAGAATCTGCAAAGTGCAAAGCAAAAACATGGCTTCCAAGCTCACCAGCCTCTGCTTCATAGCCCTCATCCTCTTCCTCTCATTAAGCTGCTCCGCAGCTCGGCCGCTGCCTTCAGCTTCTGATGCCAATGCAATGAAAGCTCAAGATGAGGTAATTAATAATTAATCAACTAATTAAGCTATTTCAGCCCAAATCATATTATAACTAAACTCGTAACTTTGTGATGAAATATTTCTGGGTTTTTGCTAATCTTTTGCTATCTTTATGTTATTGTTTTTTTCAGGTGAAGGATGTTGAAGTAGAAAAGGCCATGGTGGAGGAAAGCTGTGAGGGAGTTGGGGAAGAAGAGTGCCTCATGAGAAGAACGCTTGCGGCTCATATTGATTATATCTATACACGGAAGCACAACCCATAATTTCTTTTTTCTCTTCTTTCAATTTGTTTATTTTGCAGTTCTTCTGTACTGATCATCTACTTTAGGAAGTTTTTCTGTGTACTACCAGACCAGTGTATAGATGATATATATATATAATAGAATGAATTTTGTGGAGAGTTCTTCAATTCTTGGTTCATTTTGTTTTCTTTACATAATTCTTACAAAATATTGACGATCGAGAATTAAAACTAAGAATAAACAACCGTTAATTTACTGATCATTACATAGATTTTATCTTTACCAAAGGTTGATAATGTAACCCGTAAGCGTGACACATGTAATATATTCTAAACTAATGATTCTTTCTTCCCAAATATGTTATAGCCAAACTAAACTTGTTTGTGGGTACATATATAAGGAGTATATCTTAATCCACATAATTAAATTTGGGGACATAATCATATTCTCGACCATTAATCAATCTAGAGATGAGAGCTACTAGATTGGTTTGTAGCATGCGCGCATAATCGAAGGTTTGTATTTTAGTTGTATGTTGATCATAGGGCATTGACAAGATTAATCATGATGAGGTTCCTCTCAGAAGACTTTCATCATGTATGTGCATGCTTCCCCATATCTACTTTGAAAATACCTGCAGGATGACTCAAAATGCCTAGAGGAGGGTGAATAGGCCAATTTAAGATTCTAATCAAATAAATAAAAATAAACTTCGGTAGCAGGATTGATATGGCTTATCAATCCTGTAACGTGCTGGGCATAAAATAAAAGAACACGCAGAGAATTATTTTACGTGGTAAAACCCCACCTCTGGGGAAAATCCACGGGACTCCTCAGTCCAACACAAATCCACTATAGAACGATGATTACAAGAAGTACTCACACACTTATCCTAGACACATTCTAGATAATGTTTACCGACTTCTTCGTAACTCAACTTCTGTCACGGGATGATCTTCGACACTCCTTATGTTGAACGCAATACTGGCCACGATTGCTTCAAGCTCACCGGAGGAAAACCGCCACCACGGTCTTGGTGCCCTCAACCGTATGAGTCACCGACGTGCATATGAATGCAATATGAATGAT